ACATTGAACAAAATGTCCTTGTTGTATAGTTGAGCATCTTTTGGATATATGCCTAGGAGTGGTATAGCTGGATCTTGAGGCAATGCTATTCTTAATTGTCTGAGAATGCACCCGATTAATTTCCAAAGTCATTGTACAAGCTTAGATTCCCAACAGCAGTGGAGGAGGGTTACCCTTTCTCCACAACCTCTCCAGCATATGTTGTCACTTGAATTTTTTATCTTAGCCATTCTGATGGGTGTAAGGAGAAATCTCAGGGTCGTTTTGATTTGTATCTCTCTGATAGCTAAGGAAGTCAAACATCTCTTTAAGGGTTTCTTTGCCATTCTATATTCTTCTACAGTGAATTCTCTGTTTAGCTCTGTACCCCAATTTTTAAATGGATTACTCGATTTGTTGCTTTTTAACTTCTTGAGTTCTTTATATAATCTGGATATCAGCCCTCTGCCAGATACAGGTAGATGCCTGGAATGTGGGGCTTAAGCACAGGAGGCTATTGCGGGTGCTGGCACTGTTCGCATTCGCAATGTGCATGGGCTGATGTTCTGAATACCTCAGTGGCCTATAGGCCTGTCTTACTCTCTTTGTGGTATGCAGATCTGTCTGGCTTAGGGATTGTTTTTCTGGACTCCACTGGTAGATCCACAGAACAAGGTCTTCAATGTTGAGAATGTTCTTCGAATAATCTCTATGTTTTCCACAATGAATGTGTGTTTGGGAGGATCTGATGTCTGGCTGCTAGTGTAGAGGGAGCCTGTATCTTGGGTTCTACATGCACTCCCTTGAAGGTGCACTCACTTGGTAGCAGGCCTAATTTGAAAGTGCAGGGGTTCTCCCTGTTCTTTACTCTCAGATATCATCGGACTGTAGGGGCAAATGAGAATGTAAGAGATCCATCATCATTGTGGTGTCCTCTGTCCTCTGGACAGGGAGACCCTTACTTGGGGTATCCACTCTGTTGTCTCAGTCACGGGGCAGGAGCATGGAGTCTCCTGGAGAGCTAGCTGCTACCCTGCCTCCACTGTTGCAGACCTGGGAGGACCTTACATTTGCCCACTGGAAAGCCTGTACAGCCGCCCGCAGAACTGGGAGGCTGGTACAGCCATTCACCACTACACAGAACTGGGAGGCCTGCTCTGTGCTTGCAGCAGTGGGTACTGAGGGCCACCTCTGCCAGGGAGGGAGGTCCGGGCTTGGGTTAAGGGGAAGTGCAGGGTATTAAATATTCGCTAATCTCTGTCTCCAGAGATGTCTGGTTCCAAATGGTCTCACTGCACAGGTTGCCCCCTCTTGCCCAAGAAGCCTCAATGTTGATGTTCTCGCTTCAGCTGCCCCTCCAATCACCCATTTCAGAATTTTGGTTACTGTGCCCCTCAGATATGGAGTCTGCTGGTTGCTGTCATCTTGGATTCCCCCTTTATTTTCTAAATAACTTTTTTTTTAATTATTTTTGTTTAGGGATACGTTTCTACTACGTAGTTTCAATTTTTCTGCAATTATTTCTGCAGTGTGTGATAAGGATCTTTGTAGGTTTTTATTTTTAAAACTTACTTTAGGTGGGATTACTAAATGCCTATACCTCCCATCAAACTCCTGACCCTAGGTAGGAGAAAAAGAAAGACAGTAAGACTCAGTTCTTTGGAAGGAGGTGGGGGTGGTGGATTCTAGTCTTCCTCATCATGATTCCAGCAGTCCAACCAAATAGCAAACAACAGCAGCAGAACAAATCAGCAGCAGCTTCCTTAAAGCATTCTTCATAGCATTTTTCTTTAGGAGGATTTCTCTCTCTTTTTCTCTTTGTTCCTCTCTGGGCTCCTATTTATACCCTCTCAGAGTCTGCATAACAAAGTTTTGTTTCAATTGGAAACCCCTCCCCTCCTTTCACAGGGCAGTTTCCAGCTGACAAAGATTATGTGCTTTCTCATGAGGCTGTTATCAACTGTGGATAAAGTAAAAGCATCCTCACATCTTGGGGATTAAAACAAAAATGTATTTACATAACATAAGTAAGTTTTGAAATAACCCAAAAGTTCCACTACAGATACATGTTTAATTAAGAATTATTTTGTTTTAATATTTAAATTTGACTGTTTAGGGCTCTGTTGTGTAGTAGTTTCCTCCAAGACTAAAACCTTTCCAGTTGGAAGAAATATTGCTAAGACACAGAACACTTACAGGGAAGTGAAACAACAGGATGTTTTAAAAGGCTTAGGTATGTGGAACAGGGAAGGTGTTAAGTTCCAGAAGTAGCCAAGGGTGGGGGTGGTAGGGTGCCATGTGACTTTAATCCTAGCACTTGGGTGGCAGAGCCAGGCATATCTCCCTGAGTTCCAGGCTAACCTGGTCTAAAGAGCAAGTTCCAGAATCGCCAAGATTACATAAAGAAATCCCATCTCAAAAAAAAAAAGTTCAGAATGTAAACAATTCAATAGCTTCAGGAAGTCTCTGAAACTGGCTGAATTCCCAAAGACTCTTCCTCCCAAATATATATAAACTATTATGGATTATTGAAAAATGCTTTTCAACTACCTGAGTAGCCTTGAACATGGTCAGATCAACTGAGGCACCTGGAAAGGACACTCTACATTCTGTTTTGCTGCTCACAATCTATGCCACCTGCTACAGATTTTCAGCTTTCATGAGCTGTTTCTCATGCTGGAGTAGGATTTGGTGATGTAACTCTTCTTGAGTCATTTCTCCTTCTGTAAGTAACCCCTTACCCATACTACTGTAACCCTAGACAAACTTATTGGTTCCCCAAGTTGGACTTTGGTGGTATCCATAGTTTGGTCCATTGTGGACTCTCTATACGAGGTGAGTAGATATTTGTTCACATGGCTTCTCTGTTTTTGTTAGTTTCCTCTCTATATGCCACTAATTGTGCCTCTACTTTTGCCTCTATTGGTTTGGCTGTATTTGCCTGTATTTCTTTGAGAGCTTGGTTCGTGTCCTCTTTATTTGGCTCCACTTGTGTAGCTATTTCTCTGAGAGATTCGTTCATTTCCATTTGTGCTTCTAATAACTGGATAAGCATAGTTTTAAAGTCACTTTCCTGTGTTCCCGGTGAATTACCATGTCCATTAATTTGGGGGATTGCTGGTGAAGCCGTGATGTCCTGACCTCTTTTCATTGGGTGTGTTCTTACGCCGACCTCTGACCATCTGTTTAGCCGTAACCTTTGCTGTTTGTTCCTGGAGTCTGTACTTCAGACTGGGCCCATCTTTCTCTGGAGCTCATAGCTGGCTGGTTCAACAAAGCCGTCCTTGCTCAAACTCTTTTCCCAGCTGACTTATTCAATCTGGCTTCTCTCTCAGCCCCAGAATTTCTCTGCTCATCCTCAATCAATCTCCAGAAATCTGCTCTAATCTGCTGGCTCCTCACTCTCTGACTCATTTGGTCTTCACCTGAGTTCTGTCTCTGTTGTCTCCCTATTACTGTCCTGGTAAACCTGCCTGGATGCTGGTAATTGAGCCCAAGACTTCTAGAATAGCAAGGAGTGCTCTTAACTAAGGAAAAACCTCTCCAGCTAATCTTCCCAGCTTTTCTGTGGTCTATGGGATCTGGACTTTGCTTCTGATGCTTGCTCATTGAGTGCTATATCCACTGAGCACGTTCTCTCCTTAGATTGCTCTCCATTTTTTCTCTTATTTAGTGCAATTGTGGGTGTATGTTTGAGTGCAGGCATGTGGCATATGCAGAGGACAGAGGGCAATTTGTGAGAGTCATTTCTCTCCTACAATGTAGGTTTTGGTACTCAAATTCAAGTGGTCAGGCTTGGTGATAGGCACCTTCACCCTCTTTTTCATTTTTTTAATTTTTTGGTTACAGGGTCTTATGTATCCCAGGATATACCTTAACTTCCTTTACAATTAGCCAAGTGTTATGGAACACTGTGTCCTTTGAGAATGACAAAGTATTTACCTTCAAATTGTTAGGAAGCAATTACCTTCATGAATTGTTAGGAAGACCTACACAAGACAGGCTCATTAACTTTTCTTCATGAAATCGGAAAGGTGCTATGACCCACTTTCTACCCCAAGGATTTGTAGACAGATAAAGATCACTAGAAGAGCGGTCTCATGAGACTACATTCTTCCCCAAGGTTTTATAGGCAAATAGATGATTGGAAGAAAAACTCATAAGGCCTCTTCCTCCTCCAAGGATTTATAGGCAATTAAAAATAGATGGGGTGGAGACTGAGATGATTCAGTGCGACCAAGTATGATGACCTGAATTCACTCTCTGAGACTCACATGATGGTAGGAAAATGCCCTCACAAATAAATGTAAAACAAAAAAGTTTGACTGTAAAGGGGCTCAGTTAACAGTCGCTAAGAGGAACTCATATGAGGCCCTCCTCCTCCACAAGGAATCCTAGACACTTAACTAAGTTGTATAGTTAAGGTTTCCAAGAGGGTCTAGCCCCTCCCAAGGAAGGCTTTATAGACAATAATTACTGGGGAATGAGCTCCAGAGGTCACACATCTGGCCAAGATTTGTAAGTAATTATTAGTTAGGGGGACTGTAGCTGGCCTTTGCTACATTGTGGATTAATCTTTTTACCTTCCCAACCCTGGTTTAACCCTATCAGTAGATAGGAGAAAAAGAGAATAGAGGAAAGAGACAGAGATCTCTGAATCTAATTTCTTTCTTGTTTCTTTTTGCTTTGTAGTTGGTCTTTGCTATGTTGTGGGTTCTTCTTTCTCTCACCTAATTAAAATTTAAAAAGCCTTTATTGTTTCACCATGTTACACTTGAGTTCCACTCTTGGTTTTAGGGGTAAACCCTGCACTGAGCTACTAGTTTAAATATTACAGATTGTTTTCCCAGTTAATTCTTGCTATGATATACCACCTAGGATTGTCAATTCTTGTTACATAGTTATTCAGTAGGTTCTTTTAGGATTATTAAAGTTCATATTTAATTAGTGCACTTCCGATTACAAAAACATTTTTTTCTTTTGAAAATAAGGGTTGTTTCTCTCCTTTTGGATAGTAGACACTTCAGAAATGGCAGAACATTTCATGGGATGTAATGAAGAGTTGGAACCATGTCAGCATAAAACAGAAGAAATTAAAACTGAAGGGGAAGATGAAGATGATGAGTTGATATTTGTGGGAGAGATATCAACTTCCAAACCTGACATTTCAAGTAAGCATTTATTTCAATGAAGTTTCATGTGATGGATAGTTTTTTGTTTGAATAGGAAAAACCAGTAACAGTTTGTGTTTGTTCTGTAGAGTTTAGATGAAAACAAGGTAGGACTAGGGAAATGCTTTAGCAGCCTACACACCAGCTGTATAAGCCACAAGCATGAGTACTGGAATTTGGATCCTCAGAAGCCAAGTAAGTGCTGGGTGGAATGGCAGCCTCACTGTAATTCCAGTTCTTATATGCACGTGCATGCACATGAAAAGGTTTTTTTAAACCCATGTAAAATTTAGTAACAACTGAAAATGTTCCTGGTGATGATGTGTTTGGGACAGAGTAATGAATCCCGTAATAATAGTGATGATAATAATATTGTAGCAGAAAAATTATGCTATCAAACACTTAGAGAAACAAAAAAGTTTTTTTCCTAGCTTTCTGTCATGTTTTCAATGAACAGTGGTTCTCAGCCGTCTTACTGCTATGACGCTTTATTACAGTTACTCAAATGGTGAGGACCTGCTGCCGAAAAAAAAAATTGTTCCTATTTCATGACTGTAACTTTGCTAATGTTATGATGTGTAATGTCAAACTGATATCCAGGATTTTGGTATGTGATTCCCCAAACTGTTCATGACCCACACACAGGTTGAGAACAGCTGTCACAGAATACTTCATTACTATCATCATGTAACAATTCTATATTTATGTTACTTTTTACTACTTCTTTCTGTAAGGAGATAAAAATAATTTTGTGGTTTCAATGAACAATTTTTTTTCTTTGCCTGTGTTGGCTAAGATTTATGTCAACTCGACACAGGCTAGAGGAGAGGACACCTCAACTGAGAAACTGCCCATATCAGATATGGGCTGTCTTCTGGTGTATTGTCTTGACTGAAGATTGATGTGGGTGAGCCCATCCCATAGGGTATGGTGACACTCCTAGATGGGTGAACCTGAATAGTATAAGAAAGGAGGCTGAGCAAACCATGGGAACAAGCCAGGAAACAGCATTCCTCCAAGGTCTCTGTCAGTTCTTGCTTCCAGGTTTCTGCTCTGCATGAGTTCCTGTCCTGACTTCCCTCAATGATGGAGTCCAAGGTGTAAGATGAAATAAACCCTTTTCTCTCCGAGTTGCTCTGGGTCATGGTGTTTTATCAACAGCAATAGAAACCACAACTTAGACATTACCTCCTTGTGATAGAAAATATTAATCCAATTTTGACCTTCTTAATTTAAATATGATTCCTCATTAACCAGAAAATTATATTCACACAAGGATAAGAGATCACAGTCTGAAATTGACCTACGATCCTGTCAAACCCAATTTGACTTCTAGAGTAGTATGTTTCTCCCCCTGAATCTTGCCACCAATAAACGGCATAATATATTTGTTACTGGTTGTATATGCCTATTCTTAGACAGTATTCTATTATTTTATTAGATTTCTTTTCATTGATGAGTTTTAATATATTCCTGCAGATATTTTGAACATACGTCTTCCCAGCTCATCTATAAAGGGAAGAAAGAGTGACTTACTCAATCCAGGTACTGTATTACTATTTTATTACTAAAAAATTCTTTGCTTTTTATTTATATGTATCTTATGTGTGAATATATGAGGTTTTCTGTTTGTACCATGTGTGCCCATGAAGGGCAAAAGAGGGCATTAGTCGCGGGGAACTGGAAGTTATGGGTAGTGTTTAACCACCTGATGTAAGTGCTAGGACCAGAACCTGGGTTCTCTGCCAGAGCAGCAGCTGTATTTATTGGATGAGCCATCTCTCCAGCCTCTACTATTTTAATGTTATGCTCAACTATTCAGCAGAATTGTATACCAATATGTTCATTACAATGTGTGTGTGTGTATGTGTTTTTATATATAGCTATTTCTAATATATCCAAGACTACAAATCAACAGTACAGAAATCCATCACCTAATGCAGTGGTTGCTTTGCCAAGCTTTGATCCTGAACCAAAATCTTCAGAGGCTTCTGATGATCAGGCTATGTCTGACCCTGTAAGTTTGTTTTTGTTTTTTTTTTTTAACTTTTTTAAAATTTTTATTAATTAAACTTTATTCATTTTGTATCCCCCCCATAAGCCCCTCTTTCCTCCCCTCCCGATCCCACCCTCCCTCCCCTTTCTGCATGCATGCCCCTCCCCAAGTCGACTGATAGGGGAGGTTCTCCTCTCCTTTCTGATCTTAGTCTATCAGTTCTCATCAAAAGTGCCTGCATTGTCCTCTTCTGTGGCCTGGTAAGGCTGCTCCCCCCTCAAGGGGAGGTGATCAAAGAGCAGGCCAATCAGATTATGTCAGAGGCAGTCCCTCTTCCCATTACTAGTTAACCCACTTGGACACTGAACTGCCATGGGCTACATCTGTGAAGGGGTTCTAGGTTATCTCCATGAATAGTCCTTGGTTGGAGTATGAGTCTCTGGGAAGTTCCCTGTGTTCAAATTTTCTTGTTCTGTTGCTCTCATTGTGGAGTTTCTGTCCTCTCCAGCTCTTACTATTTCCCATTTCTTACATAAAATTCCATTCACTGTGTCCGTCAGTTGGCCATCAGGCTCCGCATCTGCTTTGACTGCATGGCAGAGGCTTTCAGAGGCCCTCTGTGGCAGGTTCCGAGGTTGTTTCCTGTTTTCTTCTTCTGGTTTTTGTTTTTGTTTTTGCTTTTAACTTAACAGTTAGGTAAAGAACACATTGGATAATATATATCTGGCTATAATCCAAAATGGTCCTGGCTAACTACCATGATTACTCAAAAGAAAATGTCATTATCTCTTGGTTTTTTATTTGTTCAGAAAAGAGTATCACTATGTAGTTTTGACTGTCCTGGAATATATTATGTAGACCAGGCTGGCCATGAAGTCAGAGATGCACCCCCTCTACCTCCCAAATATTGGGATTACAAAGCACGAGCCACCACACTCAGCTTCATTTTTAA